CCTCTCACCTTGATTTGCCACCTTTGAGGTAAATCAACAAAGTTCGAAATTTCAATAGCCCAGTCTCTTAGGTATCTTGATTACTCTGCCGCTTCTTGACGTCTTCACGACTCTCACATGGCCGTCTCTCCCAGGATACAGTTCTTCAATCACTGCAAGTGGCCAATTAAGTCTCTTTTAGTTTTCAGAACCAACAAGGACCACTTCTCCAACTTTGAAAATTTTGTCAGATGTGCCAGCTTTTTGCACCAACTGACCTAAGTATTCTTTCCGGAATCGTCGCCTGAATTGTTCACGCAGTTCTTGGCAATAGCGTTCTCTCTTTACCAGTTTGTTCCTATCCAAATGATCAAGATCAGCCATTCCAGTCTCTTTAACATCTTGGAGAAAGTTGGATGGTGTTAGAGGCCTCAAATTATCTGCATCGTTTTTATTGAATGACACGAGACTTTTAATGTATTAATGTTTTAATGACGCGAGTTTTATGTATCCTTTTTTTGTGGATGGCATCAGTTTTCGGCATTGCCATGCACGTTCTAATCCGTGTTTGCTTAGTGATAGAAGTGTTCTATGAATTTAATGTTGATACGAATTGAATTATTATATTGTATTTGTGTTCTGTTTATTGAATAATATCCTAGTTCCTGCTTTACTGTGAAACTGTTAAAATACTGATGTCAAGTGTTAACAAAGTTGTTTATTCGTCAGGAAGCATGTGCAGAATTCAAGTAGATAATATTTCTTTTTCTATAAATGTTGAAATTGTAAACAGATATTCTGATAGTAGACTCACTGTGTCTAATTATTATTAAGGTTTATATACGTATCTATTAAGAACCTGTGCAGAACAACCGTTGACGGGTAGTCTCGGCGTAGTTCTGATAATTTTTGGATAATATTTTCGTTACAAGTGGTTCACAGTTTCTTTGAAGCAAAGCAGGAACTAGGATATTATTTAATAAAAGTCTTTATTCGTCAAGAAGCCTGTGCAGAATTCAAGTAGATAAGATTTATTTCTTTTTCTATAAATATTGAAATTGTAAACAGGTATTCTAATAGTAGACTCACTGTGTCTAATTATTATTAAGGTTTATATACGTATCTATTAAGAACCTGTGCAGAACAACCGTTGACGGGTAGTCTCGACGTAGTTCTGATATTTTTTGATAATATTTTTCGTTTGCCGTCAATAAACTTCGGAAGATATCCACGAGACAGTTTTATGAATAACTTTATTGAATGAACACAAGACTTTTAATGTATTAATGTTTTAATGACGCGAGTTTTATGTATCCGTTTTTTGTGGATGGCATCAGTTTTCGGCGTTGCCATGCACGTTCTAATCCGTGTTTGCTTTGTGATAGAAGTGTTCTATGAATTTAATGTTGATACAAATTGAATTATTATATTGTATTTGTGTTCTGTTTATTGAATAATATCCTAGTTCCTGCTTTACTGTGAAACTGTGAAAATACTGATGTCCAGTGTTAACAAAGTTGTTTATTCGTCAAGAAACATGTGCAGAATTCAAGTAGATAAGATTTATTTTTTTTCTATAAATATTGAAATTGTAAACATATATTCTAATAGTAGACTCACTGTGTCTAATTATTATTAAGGTTTATATACGTATATATTAAGAACCTGTGCAGAACAGCCGTTGACAGGTAGTCTCGGCGTAGTTCTGATATTTTTTGGATAATAGTTTCCGTTACACCCTATATCAGATCTAAATTCAATCTAGAATCCCAAGGAAGGACATCAGGCAGATAGCATAATGATTGCTGTAAATGCTATACAATAGAAGTCTGATGTTAAATGTCCGGCTTATGCCATTGCAATGTGAACTTGGCAATCTGTCTGTTGTTGGGAATGTCGGAATTGACCTATAAAGGCCTTATATGGTCAAATAAATTTCATTTCATATTCCAGATATTGTGCCTCTGTATGTGTAGAGAGATTCATAAATGCTATGTGTTGCCAAAATAGTTTTATTCATCATCATTATATGACCACAGATTTGCAAAAGGTGTTTTGCGGTATCTCAAGCATGGGGGGGGAGTTAATGTCTCATTGTGTACAGGCTGCTTCGAAAGATTGATATGCTTGAAGCTCATAATGTTTTGCTGGTCAAAGAATTTTTACAAGTTCAAAAAAAATACACTTATGCTTTATTTTATTAATGTCATTTTAATTTAACTGTAATTAATTTGTGAACCAAAATATGCAAAAAGGAATTATTTTTAAATTCATTTTTTGAAACGCACAAAATGACTTAATGAATTATATAGCTGTTCTTTAATACTTTTAAATTCTGTTTACACGCATCTATTGCTATTCTATGCTATTAAAACCTATCTTTTTCATTTTCTTTATGAACTTATAAATTTTACACTTTCATATAGATATATGTAAAATAAAACATAAGTAAATCAGAATTATAATTTAAATCAGCAAAGCAACCCAAATTAAAAAGCTGTTCCTCATTTTAAAATTCTATTCCCCATTTACTTCGCCTTTCTATGCTAAAAATAGTAATAATATTTTCTGGAATGCATCATTTCTAGACCAATCCATATTTTATGACTTTTACATAATGATGACAATATAACTAATTAAGAACTCAAATTCTGTGAACCAAAAGCATTCTCTTAATAAGCTTCCATATTGGATAAATCTGCACTTTGCTTCTATCTCTATTGCTACTAGGATGCTGCCTCGCTGCTTTCTTCCTTTTGCAGCGATATCAAATATGTATATTTTGGAAAAAGGCACAGTTAGAGCTGCAAGTTATTTGTAACCACAAATGCCAGTTGAAATAAAAATTAATATTTAATCTGCTTTAGCTAGCAAGTTTGCTCTTCATTGTAGATGTTAAATACTGAAAATTTTTGGGGTTTTAAACATTTATGATTTTAACTTTGTCTCAACGCATGGTGCCAGACAAAATTAACAGAAAAAATCAAATTCATAATATATCATATTGTAAAAACAATTGTATAGTGGTAATGAGTTACTACATACAATAGAGCGTGTTGTGAGGCCCACTAGGGAAAAACAATAATCCAAATTCAATAAAACTCCATGTTTCTTTAAAAGCCTCCCGGCTTAAACAAATAGAGAAACTTGACAGACCCCCCCCCTAATATATATATATATATATATATATATACACAAAATTAAACAGATGAAACATAAAATATATATCAAGCACATTTATTAATTTCTAGAATATTCAAACATATGATAACTAGTAAAACTGATCAGTCCCCTACAAATTAACCTTAAGATGAAAATTAACATATATATCATTTTAAACATTACACTCATGTTAAGAGTAGATGTACAATTTTTTTTAAAACAAATTCATAACTCACAATTTAGGTGGTTGTACCAATTTTCTAATCATTTGTTTACGGGTATATTTAAATAACTTGTCATTACTTAAATTTTTAAATCATTTCGTTTACAAGTACGTTGATATAACTACTCATTATTTAATTCATCAATTCACTTCGTTTACACGTATATTAATATGACTATCATTACTCGGTTACAGTTTAAATAGAAAAGACAGAAAAAAAATCACTCACAGAGTGAATTTCATACATTTAAACTCCTATTTTCTCGCATGTGCCATCATCGACAGATAAATACGGAGTTTTAATATTTCAACAGATCGTCCAGCTCATTTTGTTGACCCTTCGAAGAAAGGGAATGCCATCATCGACTGATTAATACAGAGTTTTAGATAGTTCAACAGATAGTTGAGCTGTCTTTTAAATCAGGAACGCTAATGCTTCAACAAAATCAAGACCCAAGAAAAACACAGGTATCAGGATGCTTCTTTTAAATCAAGAAAAAACACCTTGAAAGGACCCAAACTGGAAAGGCACTAGGCAAGATAAACAAGAAACCTACTGGTATCTGCATCACCTTGAGAATACGTATTTACAATTCTTGGAAAATTATAATGGAGAAACGACAATGCTATAAGTTTGTTGTGATGAGCTCTAGCACCTTTTTTTTCAATGTAATTTCTCATCTGCTCAATGCTGGGAATCCATAGCCGCAGCCCGCTTGTACATGCCTCTCGCAAGAGCAAGACCTGCAAGGAGCTCAAGCCCCCACTTTTTTTCTTTTTCCTTCTTCTTCAAAAATCAGAATCCAAAAGCCATTTATCAAGGTGCAAACCTGCCATGAAATCTCGATTTCTTCACCTCTGTAAGTTCATAGGCCTACAAAAAATCATCAAATTAAATCTTACCAATCCCAGAATTTTACTTTATCTTTAACTGAGAAATTCCACACCTACGACGAATCAAAAACCAGAAAATTTGACAATGAAGCCAAACATCTGTACTCAGAACATGGGAAAGTAAGGTGGACCCCCCCCAACTAACAAGCGGAAACTAACAATAAGAAAGTCCAATTATCTAAGCTTACTGAAGGAAACATTGCAAATACAACAAAATGAAAGGAAGGCAATTTTCGTTACGACACCATTAGTAAAAAGACCACCAGCGAAGAAAGCGACTACACAACTGGTAGTAAAAAGCCATAAACTACCTGGTTACCTGGCCATAAACTATCTTGTAACCATTTCTTGTCTTTGTTTACACTACAGTCTCAAGAATAACGAGCCAGATAAAGCCCTAACAATTCAAGAAAACTCTTCCCCTCAGATTAAAAATATACATGAGCTCAAACAAAAATACTAGAACAATGACAACTTAAAACACACATTAATAATTAAAACCCGTGACATAAGATAGATCAATATCTACAAAATACAATATTTCTACATCTATGCTGCTATCAACCTTCTTATATTATTACTCATATATTTCATAAATCATGTGTGTTTCATGAATCTAAGGCTTTTATATATATATTTCATTTAAAGTTCTTATATTTGGTATTTCTCAACAGTATTTTGATAGTTGTAAAACTTCAATGTGTTTGATTTTATGTATTTTTTCCCCTATATATATATACAGTATTCTGTTGTTGATTCTTCAGCTAATGTTGTAGAAACTCATCTTCCTATAGCAAAAAATCAAAAGGGATCTTCTATAGAACCAGGTAAGACCCCTTCCCCAAACCCCTTTTATTGATATACTGCTATTCTAAATCAATTATAATACATATAGGTGTTATTTTTAAATAAATAATTAAAATACATCGATATTCTATTAATATTTTAAAACTATTATTGTATAGAATATGTGAACAGTATCATAGCTGCTGGTGAACAGAGTTGTAATGCTGATTCCTTTGACATGCGTAAGTAATTGCTTCACACTTTCATCTAAATTTTTATTTGTGTGTTGTATATGTCTATCCTCATGCATATATATGCACACAGATCTGTATATAAATGCACGCAGAAAATTAAAAGTCTTGAAAACAAAGGTCAATAGAGGAATACAAAAGCAGTACGTTTATTGTGAAAGCTGTAAAATAATTATACCTAAGTTTCAAAACATAGTTACAAAACCTGCTAATAGATAACTCTGTATGCTGTACAGCTTGTATTGTCATGTATACTTGTCCTCTGTAAGGAATCATTACAGTACATTACAATCTTTTCAAAATGTCCACCACTTTCGGTACAGAGGTGTTGCAAACAAAGAATGAAATTTTCTGTCACATCTTTCAGTGTCTCAATGGAAATAGATTCAGATACCAGACAGATTGATGATTCAAGCTCATCCAGCATGGTGGGATGGTTTCGGTAAACAGTCTTTCATTTCCCTCCCCCCTCCCAAATAGTCACAATGAGTCAGATTGGGCGAATATGGAGGTCAGTCCATGCCTGCTCCAATAAATGTATAATAATTCAGCTTAGTGACACTGTTCTTAAAGTATTGACAAATTATTCCAAAACTTCAATATAACATTCACCAGTGATTGATTTATGCATGAAAAGGGGAAGATAATTCTTCTGCTGCTTACTATATCCCAAACAATAACTTTGAGAGAATGGTGTGGTTTGTTTTGCTCAAATGGGGATTTTCAGAACCCCAAAATCATCTGTTTTGTTTATTTCTGAATCAATTCAGGTGGAAGTGTGCTTCATCAGTGAACCAGATGTAGCCAATAGCAAATTCTTCATTATCACTCATTGTGAGAATCTGGTTCGCAAAGTCAGCCTTTTGTCTCACAGCTTGTATGGACATGGTCTGGTGATTTTGGATTTTGAATGGAAACATATGTAGGCTCAGTATTTTCTGCAGGCTGGAATGCGTCAAACCAGTTTCTGTTGCAGTTCTTTGGGTGGATTTCCGTGGATTTTACTGAGTAATTCTAGAAAGTCTGGTGACATTTTCAGGGGTAACTACAGTTTTGCCTGGCCCAACATTTTCTATCAGATCTTCAGCCATGCTGTCTGTCTGTTGAATTTGGAAAAGAGCTTGTGAACGTTTTTGACTTGGAGACATTAAATCATGTTGTCATAGGAGTGTGTTTTAACTTTTGGTATTCCACTATCAGAAACACGCGTTGTTCAATGGAATACATGATTTCAACTTCTCCCTTTGGTAAGCGAACCTCCTTTCATATTTCAACACTGAAACTGATCACACTTATGTCTTTTGTAGAGCTAATTATATACACTCCATATTGACTCATCTGCTGGCAGCTTTTGTACTTATTATTTTGAAATTTCTGTGTAACATTTTTACAGCTTTAACAATAAATATATTACTTGTTCTCTTCGTGTATCGATCTTTCTTTTCAAGATTTTTAATTTTGAAATTAAGGGCTCCTTTGTTGGACACCCTGTATATGATATACATGTATCATACTTTTATGATTTTAGTATCTGTGTGATATTAAAATCAGTACAGTACAAAGTCTGTAATCCAGATGTCCATTATCCAGAATGATCTATAATCCGGACCTCAAAGCCACAAACTTTTTTTTGTATGCTTTTTGCGCATGTGTGTTTAATGCTATGCATGCACGCTTAATGTTTACGCATGCGCATTCAGTAGGAAAAATGAAGCAACTTAGACAGCTTACATTAAAAGAAATGTTTAATAAAGTAAACAAATAAATATTCAGTTTTTTTTTTGTAAATTTTGATACCCTTTAGATCATAACTGCTCTTTATTTCACAAATTACGGTTTCGTATTTTTAAATTGTTTAATTTCTGCATGCCATCTTACCAGATTTAAATTGATGATCTATAATCTGGAAAAGTAAAAATATGGAAAATACTTAGATTTATGAAAATTATGCAATGTTTAGAACACTAACTTATACATCAAATGTTCATATGAACTTGGGTTCTTTCAACCTATAACTATTACATAAAGCAGTAAATTATGCTTCTTATATATGTATATATATAATAAATAATATATATATATATAATATGATGGCTAAACATCCAAATAATTGGGCAACTTCAAAATTGACTATTCTAAATTTGGTGTTCTCACCCCTAAGTTCATCTGTTCTCCCAAATTCGAAATCTTTCCATGTTACATATCTTTCCACGTTAAATAACAATCTAAAATTAACCATTCACACCTTAACTATACTTATGTGCCTACTTGGTATAAATACTACTCGCAAGCAACTACGTCAATCCTCTTCTTAACTTCTACCCTGCCAACATCTCCATGCTGCTATGCTTACTTGCCTGAAATGATGTCGTATCTTTTATTCTGCATATATAAAAAATTATTGTAATTTCTTATGATCAAAAGCTATATTTGTCTATAAAGAAATGATTTTTATGTGCCTAAAAATAAAGATGGTGATTCACCGAATTTAGTTTTATTAACATCTTATTCCTGCCTTTTCCACTCAGCCATCATGACTATGCAATAGAATATAACATATATATATAAGTACTTACATAAACATAATAAGAGGCTAAAAATTAAAAACAAAATTTTTATACCCGTCCTGCGCAGGATATAAATAAAATAAACTTAAAGCATCTAAAGTTAAAAGTAAATTAGGGGCAAAGCAAGGCAATTCCTCAATATTAATAATTGCAGCCGTGTGTAAGATGTTTAACGCAATATCTGAAACAAATCAAAATTAAAATAAGAATTCATAGCAGTACAAACTCAAAAATAAAAATGCAAAAGGGGAAAAATATACAAGATAAAAATATAAAAATTAATCTCCTTTCACTGAAACTCCAATTCAGAACTCATCAGAGGAAAATGAATTAAAGCTTCATAAAAGTCGATTAATATATTTCCAAACCGTGTTTCATTCTCCTGGTTCATTTGAGATCAAAAAACCAAAAAAGAATCTGTTAAATTTTCATGTAAGACATTCAAATTCAAATAAAACCGAAAAATCTCAAATCTACTAGAATTTTCCCTACATAGTTATTGCATAGTTACAATTTTTCCTATGTAGTTACTTTTACACGCGTTTGAAACACTTAAAAAAAATGATAAAACGTAGCATTGTGCCAAATTAATTACTAAAAAAAAAAAAAAAAAAAAAAAAAAGAAAAAAGGAAAAAAAGAGACAAAAAGACAAAACTTTTGATTATGTAAAATGACCATTCAAGCAAACTAAATTGGTCTAAAGCCATTATATGCAAATCCAAAATTAAGAAGCAGATACAAATAAAGAGCTAAACAAGTATACTTTAAACTAAATTGTCATTTAAACAATACACCCACCAGCGGCCGAGCAGTAAAGTCGCTGAACACTGGTAGTTCGCTCCGAGGTTCAAATAATCCCGCGAACGGGCTGGCTGCATGGGCGTTTTCGTGGTTTTCCCCATGTGTGACGTGTATATGAGCCAGTTTCCCTTAGAAGGTCCTCCACGAAGGCATCCCTCCCCTTAGGCAGATAGCCCTAGTGTGCTTTGCCATAATTAAATATGCCAATACCAACATTTAAACAATACTAAAAAACTGGATGGTCCTCGATAATGCTAAACTAAACTTTTAAAACCAATAAAATGAAAAACTTTTTATAAAGATTTCTTTAAATAATAAAATCAAATCTAATCCTTGATCAGCTAAAAACTGAAAACCAATTAGAAACAAAAACTGAAGAAAATGCAAACTTACTGAAATCTTAGGACAACCTTTTAAATGAAAATTTATTGAATATAGATGACCAAACTGTGTTCCTTGTAGAACTCAAAGCTGCTCTGGAGAAGGAAAAAAAAATATATATATATAGTTCTTGGGAGGTTCAAAGTGTCTAGTTGCTGAACTATGTATTTAAACATGTGTTCAAAATGTCCTATCCTGTTAAACTTTGTCTGGGGGGAAGGTGCCAAATATTGGGTGCAGTCTGTAAAAACGATTACCTGTGAGTAGGGTGATCATTGACTCCAAAATTGCAGCGTAAGATATCAGGTTCAATGTTCCGTCTTACTTTCTTCGGGAACATGCAAGGACCTGACTTGGAACAGAGAGCTTACTAAAGCTATGTTCAATAATTGTGGGAAGTAGACAAGATACACAAGAAGGGTATACAAAACCCTTTATTTTTCTCTATTTACAATAATTTCCGTACTTCGGAATACAATGATCCACTACTTGTGGTCTAACGTAAGAATATAAAAAATATAACTAAACTCTAATTTAACTTTAAAAAAAAACGTGGAAGATTGGCCTTATATTAACAGGAAGCCGTATGTAGTACAGAGAACTGCTAACACTACAATACGTTTAAAGTTATCAGAGGATTAACCTCTGGCCCTGGAAGGCAACCAACAACTGAGTAAAACTTCTAAGGTAAGCGGCCTGCTTCGACTAACTGCTTCCTCTCTCTCGCTTGGCAAAAGCCACAATTAAATAATTGGCGTTCGCCAGACAAACTTTGCATAAATACGTTAACGCTTATAATTCTGGCCGGAAGTAGAAAATAAGAAGTGATAGTAAAGATTTAAAATAAAATAAACGTTAGTAAAACTTAAGATCCTTACATACTTCCCGCCAGAGTTAATTAGTTTGAAACTGAGGTCTAAAACGACCTTGTTGAAAACTTTTAGCTCTAGAATCTAACGCGAGGCCAATCTTTTACAAACATTTTTCGCTAGAAACTAGAAATTTAAAAGAAAGAAATTTGTTTTTACATACCAGCTCCCAGGACAAACGCAATTTTTTTCATCTGTACTGCATCTAAACAGGAGCTTTTATTCAAATCTGGTTCCTTCCAGAGATCTGGAAGGAAAACTAGTTTAATGAAATGTTACACAATGAATGGGCAAGTAACATGTATAATTTATATTTTTTCTCTTAACATTCTTATTTCATTCATGACTATTTTAATTATCTCTCCCGTGCTC